TGGTAATTATGTAGGCCTCTATACTAGCAAACTTTTCGGGTCTTTAAAACTTTTAGGGCTCATCACTCACGCCACAGTGTGCAAGGCTCAAGGCGCCACGCAATAAGAAATCATCGTAAGCTATGCTTTTTTAAAGGTCCGTATTCTATGCCCCCATATAGAATTTATCGGGACCTTAGAAAAAAGTAGGTTTTGAAAGGTTTTGCTGGGGTTTGGGTTCCCGGCCTCGGGTTTGCAACCAGGGTCTAGGATCGAAGCCAGAAATTTCTGAACCCCTACACAGCAAGCGCAAAACCCTGAACACAAGATCCCAAACCCTAACAAAACTGATTCAGAACTCTTGTGAAGTCTTCGGCCCGCCCAACTGCCTGCGCAAAGACTGAGCATGGGGCATAGACCGCAGTCGGAGAATTTTGCAAAGCCTGGCTTCTTTGTCGGGCGTGAAAAAGGCCTTAAACCTGAAACCCTAAACCCCTAAGCCCTAAACCCTTTACACAGGGTTCTACTACAAAGGCTCTTGGGATCGGAAACCAAATGGTTCCAGAAGCGCCTTTATGGGTCTTGTGCTTTCGAAGTTTAGGGAAGACGGGTCTCGGGTTTAGGGTTTATGGTTTGAGGTTTAGGATTTAGGGTTTGGGTACACTAAACCCTCAACCCGAAGCCCTAAACCGGGTTTATGGTTTGGGGGTTTGTGGTCCCGGATTTAGGCAAGGAGAGTCTTGGGTTATTCTGGGGCGTCGGGCTTCGAGTCGACCGTCTAAGGATTAGTACCGGAAGCTTTGCATAAACATCCGTCGCCAGACCCAAACTAGGATCCAACAGGCACATGCTCATCTTCATCTAATGTAGGGGCCTTCATAATTAGAATAGGATTTTTGGTGTTCCGTATTATAATTCTAGTATAAGATACCCCAAAACCCATTCTAATTATTTACATCATGGTAGAATACCATGTCGGGTGGTCTGTCTGCTGGAACCTTCCAAGGCCTAGGCAAGGCTCAAAACCTGCACTAACCTGTGCGAACTTCGCAGCCCTGAACCCAACCCCTGAAGGCCTCGATCCCTGTTCCCTAGGACCCCGGAAGTCATGAAACCTGAATACAGTGTAAACCCCTAGCCTGAATGCCTGAGCCCGAAACCCTGGAACAAAAGCCCGGCCGTTGTAGTAGCACTAGCAGTAGCAGGAGCAGCAGCACTAGCAGTAGCAGGAGCAGGAGCAGGAGCACAAGCAAGAGTAGGAGCACTAGCAGTTGTAGCAGTTGTAGCAGTAGCAGTAGTAGTAGTAGTAGTAGTAGTAGTAGTAGTAGTAGTAGTAGCAGCAGCAGCAGGAGTAGTAGTAGTAGTAGTAGTAGTAGTAGTAGGACTGATAATAGTAGTCGTCGAAGTAGTAGGAGCAGCAGCAGTTGTTGTTGTCGTCGTCGTAGTCGCAGTCGCATTGGTAGTGCTGGTGGAGGAGGAGGAGGAGGAGCCCTAAACCCTGAGCCCAAGAACGGTAGCCCCTTGTGGCCTGGCGACCCAAGCCGGCAGACTTCACCTCAAGGGTTCCTTTAAGGGGTTAAGGGGTCCCTCAAGGGGTCCGCTAAGGGGTCCTTTAAGGGGTTCCTTTAAGGGGGTTTGCGCTCTGGGCTCGAGGCACACACGTCTGCTCCAGGATGTTCACAACGCTGCCTACGTTCGAATATAGTAACCTGATTAAGAACCGCTGGCCCTCTAATTGTGAAGTTTGGACATCCGTACAAAGAACCCTAACAAAGACCCAGGGTTTCTTAGTCAGGTTCCTATATCCGGGTTTGGGGTTGGCAGAACAAAACCCTAAACGACAAGCTTAACCCTAATCACCGAATACCTAAGCGAAAGACCCAAGACAGCAAATACTGCCGTGCCCGCTCGGAGCCCGGAGTCGTTGCCCAAATAAACCTCTGCCCCTAAAGCCGGATAGAGGCCGTAATAGAACCTCTTGAAAGCGCAACTATAAGCCTACATAAGCATACAAAGGCTAACCCTAAAACACCTAAGCCCCCCAAAACCTTTTCAAAACCAAAGAAGCCGTAGAAGAACCGCAAGGAAAGCCGAGGCCCAAGCAGCTCGAGCCGCTTCCTGTAAGCACGCGCCTCTCAGTTGCACTTGGGGATCGGTTTAGGATTTAGGATTTAGGATTTCGGGTTTAGGATTGAGGATTTAGGGTTTGGGGTTGAGAGCTGGGGCTTTGGGTGGGGACTTTTTTGGAGCGAAACGGCCGTCGATTTAAGCCTTGTCTTCTATCAGGCTTTCTATTGTGCTTGAAGGGTTGAAGGGTTGAGGGTGTGGCGTTTTAAGGGTTTAAGTCTGTTTAAGGCTTAGGGCAATAGCATTGATGTCACGAGCATGTATTCCCGAACTCGAACCCCTGAAAGTTGGAAGATCCCGAATTAAAAAGCACGAGTGCGGAGTTTGAGAGCGTGGAAAATGCGAAAAGGAAGTATGCTCTGAGGGTGATGGCGAGAACGAACAGAGAGCTTGAAGGCTTACAAGAGCTCACTTTTCAAGTTCCAAGCCGCGACGGCGTAGGCCGGGCGACGGACCCCGGGTTAAGTCCCATGTGACGCTTCCGGGCTCGAGCTTCGAAAGTGTGACAGATTGAACTTCCAACGCTCCAGCTATTCAAAGCTGTAGACAATTGCAGATTGAAGTTCGTCCCAAACTAAATCCCAGGACCCGAGACCCTAAGCCCGAAACCCAGAAAGGTTCAAGTTTGACAGTTGGAAGCTTGGCAGAGTTTCGGAGAGTTTAAGAGGCCTTGAGGGGGGTTCCTTTAAGGGATCCTTTTAGGTTCCTGTGGGGGTTCCATAGTTCTATAAACATACTATAAGGCTGTAAGGTTTGGGGTCAGGGATCCTTTAAGGGCTCCAAGTAAGAGGGTACTATTCGGGTTACTATAAGGATATTACACCAGGGCTCTCATACTCATACTTAGACTAGGCCTCCTTTATGAGATTCCTTTAGAGGCGACTTTCGAACAGCCCGAGACGATTTGTGCTGGAAGATTTCTTGCTGAAACCCTCACTAGAAAAGGATACCCTAAACCCTAAAACCGCACCCTAAACCCTAAACCCCAGAGCCTAAACCCAAAACCCTAAAGCCCTAAAACCCTACAAAAACGTTGTCTACAGCTTGCAACAGCTGCTTGGAGCTGGTTTGACAGATCAAACCCCGGAACCGAACCCAAAGGACAATTCTCAATCTCCAGCATGAAACCTCCACAAATCGTGAGGCGATATTATGTCAATTATGGTTCAAGTACAAATAGTAGTAATTATGTTGATAGTAATCGTAAATAATAATAATAACAAACCAATAAAAATAGTTATTATATAGAAATAATAGCAATCAGCGTAAAATAATATTACTTCCCGCAGATCGAAGCCGTGTCCACGCCGGCGGCTTGGGCATTGGGGCTCCGGGCGCTGCGTCGGGTCAAGCTCCGCGGCCTGTGTTATAGCTTAGGGTTCCAAGTTTTTGGGTTTTGGGGTTTCGGGTGCTGCCGTGCGTACGGTTTTAGGGTGTGGGGCGTGAGTTGCACATGTACACTTGCATGCAAGCATGCCCTTGCGTGATTTGCAAAAATGGCGACTGTCGTTAACATGCTGGCTGTTTGGGCTGCGATGCAACAATGAATCGCTTGCCTGTGTTTTTCCAGCTTGGCATCACCCGCACAGCACGCGCAGTAGGACCTCATCATCTATCATCATCATGAAAGATCGCCTTAGATCACCATCATGAATATCGTCATCAACATCATATTGTCGTGGCCATCAGCAGCACCACCATCATCATCCGCCGCCATCATGGCCATCGCCATCACCACCGCCATCAGCAGCCGCATACTTGCAACAGCATCGACAGCAAACAGCATTCTCAGGAGCATCAGTCTTACCATCATCAACATCATAGTCAGTATGATCATAGTACTTAGAATCGTACTCATAATCACAAGAATCAGAAAAACAATCATCATCATGAGCTAGACCTGGAGCAGCGCAGCAGCAAAGGCAGCCTCATCCTGATCTTTCCGGCTGCTCTCGCCACCCTACGATAGCAAGGTTCCTAATCAGATTGTGTGGGGCTTAAGGGGCTTCTGGTGCGGCTTGGGGGTTTAGGGTCTAGTGTGCAATCAGAATGCCATAACCGGCAACGTCGGTACACCGCGCTTCTGCTTTGGAAAGAGGCCTCCCGTGAGTCTGCGCAAGTACCTCGAGGTCTGCTGGGGCTGCTGCACTTCTCACGCATGTGCACACACTCGGGTTCTTGATATCACCGGGTGTAAGGGTTTAGGGTTTGGGGTTCAAACTTGAGGTTTTAGGGCTCAGGTTTAGAGCTTAGGGTTGCAACGTCTTTCAAGGCGCTCTGAACACGGTTGGGTTTTTGAGATTCACTAACAGGATCCCTCTCATGGACACCCTCGTCCCTACAAAAGCCCCCCCCTTGCTAGTACTCGTTCTGACTTGAAACAGTTTGCTCTGGCCGACCAATATTCCTAGATCCCTAAACCTAAAACCACACAGGCTAGGGTTTGGGGCTGTTTCATGAATGGTGGAGGGTCTTTTCATTCTAGGATGTGCGAACCCTAAACCTATACCCTAAACCCTACCCTGCCGCCTTCTCTTCCCCCAGCTTGAAGTAGACTGGGTCAACAGGACCTTGTCGGCACATGCTGCGAGTCTAGGTACCTCCTTTCGGGGCCATTACAGGATCCTGCTGTTTAGAGTTTCATATTAAGGCTGAAAGCTCCATATTGGCACATTAAAGGGTTGGGGTTTAGGGTTTTACGGTTTAGGGTTCAGGGTCCAGTTTCGTGTTGGGTCTTGAGCAGTTTTGTGGCCAAGTTCTGGCCAAGCAGGCTTCAAAACCCCTAAACTCCAAACCCTAAACCGTGGCTCGGATCTCAGTTCAGGGACCCTTGGGATAGCGCGAGACTGTGGAAGGTCAAACCCTCGACCGGGAAGTCGTGGCCATTGTGGACCCAAGGGTTTAGGGTTTAGGGCCGTAGTATTATTGGGTTGAAGGTTTGTTTTTAAACTAAATCTAAACCCAAAACATAGCCCACAGCCTTAAACCCCGGAAACTAAGCCCCCGAACCCCCCAAACCCAGAGCCTTAAAAGCCCTGAAGCTAAACTCCTGAACCCAAAGTTTTTAGGGTTTGGAGTTTAGGGCTTAGAGTTTAGGGTTTACAGAGTTTAGTGTTTGGAGCTTAGGGCGTAGAGTTTAGGGTTTAGGGTGAATGGTGACGCCAAACCCCCAAACCCTGCAAACGCTCCTCAATCATTGGCGCCTCTATCCTCCCAAACCCTAAATCCCTCAACTTTAGACCCGAAAGCCCTAAAGCTCTAAAACCCTGAAACCCCTGAAGCCCTAAGAAAGCCTCAACCCAAGAAGGCCTGGAAGCTCTGTAAAGGCCCCATGCCGGGCATAGATGCCCTCAGCGGAAGCAGCATTTTTTCGAGGGCTTAGGGTTTAAGGGTTAGGGTTTAGGGTTGAGGGTTTAGGGTTTAGGGTTTAGCGTTTAGGGTTTGGGGTTAAGGGTT